TGTACTACATCTCCACCATTTGCAACTGCAAAAAACAATCACAATTTGGAAATCACAAACAATCACCAACAAAACTATCCCCAATCAGATCAAAGAAGGATGAAAAATACCAAAACCACCAAAAAACAGCATAGCGATGCTCATCTCCAAATCCACCACAAAATCACACGAACACTACCATACTGGGTCGCAGAGCATAGCACAAAGCCTCGTGCGGCACTATACGTAACTAGGCAGCATTACTGGTCAGCGACACCTCCACTGACATTCACAGATCTGTAGCATTGCAAGTCGGCAACACCCCCTCCTAAATATCAATACTCCACGAAGGACAGTAGATCGGCAAGCGTGGCTCCGGCAGAGGATCTTCTACGCTCGATGCCGGTTGTGAGAATAGAAAGGATGGGTGAGTGGATATTAAAAAAAAGGGTTGAACCCCAATTTTGAGGGGCCCCATCCCCCTAGAGCTTTGTGAGGAAGGTAAATCGCGGGATGTGCTCCAATAGGCCAGGGAACAAGAGCTGCTTGTACACTGCACCTACAAGAAGTCCAATTCCATGTCTCAAGAATCGAACCCACACACTGCGGCTGCCAGCAAAATATGAGATAACCTCACTCTTGTCCTTTACACCACTGGGCTATGCTCCGAGGGGCTATGGGTGAGTGGATATTGAACGTGAGAGAGAGAGAGAGAGGGAAGAGTTTGTAAATGATTTAGGGCTTGAGTTAAATTGGGTGGGGGTGAATGGGGGGTTTTGGAAATGTAGATTAATTAAATTTTATAATAATATTATAAATATTTAAAGATTGAATTATTACCTGAAGTTTGAATAAAAAGTTTTCAAAACTGATATTTGAATTGAAAAGTTAAAAAACATGTATGGCTGTAATTTTCACAATCACCTATTTTTTGGTGTTCGTTTGATTTTGTTTTACATGAAAATTGTCAATTAAAATGAAATATTTTTGTACAATATTTCTTAGAATTTGTTTCCATTACAAAAAAAAAATAAAAAATAAAAAATAGGGAACTAGAAAACCTGAATTGGTTTTCAAGGAAAATCAAGAAAAATTCAAGTTCCAAGAAAATCAAGAAATCAAATTCCATGGAATTCAAAACCTATCAAACAAACAAAATTAGAAGAAAGTGGAATTAGAATTCCATTTTCCATGGAATTTGAATCAATCAAACATAGCCTTAGTTTGTTTCTATTTCCAACTTGTGGTCGCACTTCCAAACGGAAAGGGATAAAATTGGGGTCCCATTCCAACCCAAAAACAAGGAGTTTCCATACATTTCTATAGTAGCAGAACTCCAGCAAGGGCTTGTCTTGAGAACCAAATTAGCCTGATATAAGGACAATGCACTCAACTCTGCTTCCACAAGATCAAACCTTGCAAAAAATTCCCTCCAGAAGTCAATTTTTGCGAATCGATGAATCTTTTCTTCACCCTCTTCTGCAATCGTCCTCAAAATCATCTCCCGGAAGTATGTTTCCTCGACTATATTCCTAAACATGCTGTCCCCTTTTAGGCAGGTATCGAGTAAGTCACATATTGTACTAGCTAGGAAGATTGCCTCATAAAATCGGTCGATAAAAATTGGTGTATTTGTGTTCACTTCCATTTCAACAACAACAATTACACATGGATTGAGTTTTTTCACAAAACCTATGAAACTTTCTATGCGGTTAGGCCAGGCTAATATACCACACAGTTTCAGGAACAAAAATACTGCCACCATTTCTTCGGCCTCCACCTCGAAAAAACCTTCCTTAAGGTCACTCAATTGTGATATCACTGTTTTGAATAAAAAGGGCAACTTCAAGGATTCTGCAAAAGATGATAGCGTTTTACCTGTTTTTTCGAGCCAAATTTTGGACGTTCCAACTGCAGTAATTTTCAGAAGCTCGACTGGACAATCGTTTCGACTAGCAAGACCTTGCATTAGAATTATCAAATGAGATCCACTTCTGATTCCAAAATCAATCAAATGAATTTTTCTTGTTGATGCCACGCTGTCCAAAATGGCTTGCATTCCAGTAAATTGACTTATTTGACTAAGGGGAAGTTTTTGTTCACATGAGAGAGAGACAGATTTAAACATCAATGCGTGTTCTTCTACATCCACTATTTTACGCTCTAAATCGATCCTTCCGCTTTCACGATCCATCCTTTCTCGTAAAGCCTCAGTAAAATAGGTTACAACTCGTCGAAGAGGACTGTCACAAGGTGAAGCAAAAAGAACGCATTGGTTGAGCAATTTTTCCGCCCTATCAAATTGTTCGATGGAGAAATTTTCAGCAGCCATAAGAAGATTGGATGCAAGTTCCATATCCTTTAAATTCTCTTCTGATATCCCGGATTGAAATTTTAACGGATTGATAGAATTCGATGAACAGTCTTCGTGTAACCTCATTCTTGCTAATTTCATGATGAATTCAGCAGACACGACAGGATTACTCGGAAAGGTTAAGGTCCCGTTTGTCGTCTGGGGGACGATAGGCTCTTTACTTTTCTGTGGAGTCAAACGCTTTAATTGGCTCTGATACTTGCTCAGAATTTCGAATGGCGCTTGAGGAAAACAGGGATTCTGATCTTTCTTTGTTTCGACGAGATACGAGATTCTGGTTTCGTTCTTGTCTTTCTTTTCGAATCCTTCAAATTGGGATGCCATTCTTTCCTGTCTGCTGATTTTCTGAACAACACAGTTGCTAGTACATTTTCAATAAAATGTTGTTGATTGATCAACTTATGATCATACTCAGTGTTCTGGAAATGATCGAAAACTCTTAGTACCAATTTTCTCGAACCCAAAATGAGACACTGGAGACTGGACTAATGGAGGTTTTATCATTTGGCGTTTCTGAGGTAACTGTTTAGCTTTGTCTGAAAACGGCCAGCAGAAGAGAATATGTTTGATCTCTAGACAATGCAGCCAAACCTGGAATTCTGGGATTTGTCGAAATTATATGGGCCTAGGATAGTCAGAATGGGAATTAAAAAGATTGTAAAGTACAAAAAAGCACATAAATAGAAGGTATAAACCCCATAACAATGCAAGTAATAAACGACAGTGCTATACTAAGAAATTATGTGGCATCTATTGTTGGACCCGCCTAGCTGACGTGGCATGATGAGTCAGCAAGCCAACCTACCTAACGAAGGGGGGCTGCTACTGTGACAGGGGCAGGGGCAGGGGCAGGGGCCTGTCGCGGGCCCAGTTTGAATAGAATTATTCCCAAATGAAGATAGATGAAAAGAGTTTTGGGACAGCTTACAAACGCTGGATAGGCAAGTACTTGCTTAACAGATCCTCACAAGGCACTTAAAGACAAACTAGAGAACTCGAGCTAGCTCTAAGGGAGTCGGACAAGTTAGGTCGAATATCAAAGTTGGCCATGAGGCCCAACTCGAATAGAAAATTTGACTAGTTGAGCAGAAAGGTGTCAAAAAAAATTTCGTGGCTCAATCTTATGTGCACTAGCAATACGCTCGAAAAAACATGGTTGCAAGCTCGTTGAGGTGGGTGAGCTCAAGAATGATGCTCAACAGAGCAAAATATCAAGCAAGGTAAACAATATTATATCATTAACTTAATTTTATCTCATAAGTTTCATTTCTTTAGTAATAGTAAAAGGGTTAAATGTAACTTTGTTGACATAGCCAGACTAATCAAAATATGTTGTTTGTTGCCATTTTTAACCTACCTAGTACCTACCTGCCTACTTCTAAGTAAAACTTACATTGTGAGGAATTAGGTAAGAAATAGACCATGGAAAATTTAATAAAGCAAGTTGGGAAGACTTTGTAGCCAGTCTTGAAATGGAGTATTTTGTATGCAATGACGCAAGTTTCTTCCCTTGTCAACGAAACACTCCTCCAAGGAGAAAGGAAATTTCCTAAATCATTATCTAATGAAAAAGTATATAATTATGCATTAAGGACCAACACTTTTGGTTTTTATAATTTGATTAATGATTATCTTATAGTAAACTTGTCAAAATTAATTGACACAAGTTTTAAAAATATATTAGTGGGCTTCGATGTCTGTCGTCATTAACAAAGTGGAAGTTTGGCATAAATATTAAATGGAAACTGCTCTGTGTACACGTGTACACACAACTTTACACCCCCTCACATGAAAGGAGATCCATGAATATTTTATTACATGTGGAGCCCCCCTCCATGTGAGGGGGTGTAAAACTGTGTGTACACAATTGAATACACACAGCACAACCCATATTAAATAGTCATTCGTAAAAATTTTTACAAGATTTTCCACATTTTTTTCTTCATTTCGACTCATGCTGTAAAGATCGTTTGATAATATTGTGACACAATTATTGTTTGTATTGAGACTGAAAAATAAAAATAATTTACATCAACAACAATCTAATTTTTAATAACCTAAACATTAATTTTTCATTTGGTAGTAAAATAAATGATGATAAAAAAAGGGAAAAATCATGAATGATCTCCGTGCTCATTTAAAAAAATTGTGTATATTTATTTTCGACGAGTTAAATGATCACTTCAATTATTTTTATCTCTCTCTATATTATTATGTCAGCGCTTACATATTAACTGGACACAAAATCAACATTGTCTTATTATCAACAATCCAAAGTTGAATATGTAATTTAATATATCATATGTTGAGTTTCAAGTCGTTTTCACAAGATTTTCAGCCAATTTTATATAAACAAATCCGAAAGCTGGTTTAAGATTTCTACATAATATAAAAAGAGGAAAATTGGCTGTAGTGGTAAAAATTTCTGCAATTTCATTGTAAAATTGACCATTTAAATTATAACATCTCTACTGTCGAATAGAACAACAGTATATTGTAATGCTATTGTTCATTTTGGCGCCTTGTTTGATAAATTTATAAATTTCTTCTCCAACCTTTGGGTTGATAAATAGCACTGCACTCGCAGACTCAAATTAGGCCCGCACTCCAAGGATCTCCTTCGTTTACCTATTCCCGTCATTAACGGTCATTGCCTACAATTTTTCACCAATGTTTTCTTCTACTTTTCACCAATTTTTGCCATACCCAAACATGCACTCTTCCACCCTAAAACAACCCTTTATTTCTTCTTCTTCTCCTCCTTTTTTGATGAAAAGAGAGAATTTTTTGAAGCCTAGCCCATTACAAATTCAAGAAAATCCAGGAAAAAGGAACACCAAGAAAAACCCACAAATTTCTATGCCTCTAAATTGTGTTTTTCGTGGCCCTGGTAAATCAAGATCAAGAAAACCAAATCCCAGAAATATGGCAGTTTTTCGCTTAACAATAGGTGAACAGCCATTACTGCATACCTTAAGCGTATCCAAAAAGGTACCTACGATTAGTGCTCGTGTGAGATCTTATACTGTTCTAATTGTTTGGTTGAGTCTTTTGAACTCATACCATATTGACTCTCTTGCTGTTAAAAGGTCTAACATTTTAATCTTAACAGGTACAAGCTTTGGATTTGGAGTTCAAATCTTTATCTAAGCCCATTGACAGAGTCAAAAGATTGTTGCACTATGCAAATCATCTTCCACAATTCGATGAATCTGCGAAAATTCAAGAAAATAGAGTCATGGGCTGCACAGCCCAGGTGTGGCTGGAAGTAGAAATGGACAATAATGGAATAATGAAATTCAGAGTTGAGAGTGATTCAGAAATCACAAAAGGGTTCTGTTCTTGTTTGATTTGGGTACTAGACGGGGCAAAATTCGAAGAGATATTGACTGTAAAGTCAGACGATTTTGTAGAAATGAATGTGGGTTTGCCTAGTCGGGGTCACTCCAGAGTGAATACTTGGCATAATGTGTTGATTAGTATGCAAAAGAGAACAAAAGATTTGGCTGAGCAAAGAAATGGACGAACTTTTCCTTCTCTAATTCATGATATCAGTGTCAATGGAAGTCACAAGGAAACTCAGGTGTGCAATCAATTTGCTATTTAATTTTTACTTAGCTAGCACTCTTTTCTTGTTTTTTATTTTGATTCTAGTTAGTTGTAATATTTTATGAATTATCATAGGAAACTATAATTCTTTAGAGGGAATAGAGTATGCAAACAAAGAAAAGCTTTTCTATAATTAACAAACAAACAACAAACTAGCCTTATTGCTGATAATTTTGGAGTTGGCTATGCAAGTGTTTCTTGTTGTAATCAGTTCGATTGACGGCTACTTGGATTTTGATTAACCTGATGCGGTTATTTGGTTCATATTATACTTAAGTATTCAGTTAAAAAGACTTGATGTCATATGTTTCTTTTTCCATTCTGAATATGTACTAGAAATTCTTATTGAAGAGTATAGACAGATTAAGCCACTTGTTTGGTGAGTCTAAACGCGCATTATCAAAGCAGAAGCTGACCTTACATTCTGTATTTAGATCATGTCCCACAAAGTTTGAACAAGTTTAGGCTCTATGACTATTTTTCGCTATTATGTTCGATTTAGACCTATTTTTCTCATAAAAGTTCAACAGAATCAAATATTTCATGAGTGACTCATACCTGGGATTGCCGTTATTGTATTTAAACTTCTATCTTATTTTAACTATTTCAATGTGGCTATAGATGCATCACATCTTCATTTATGCTCCGTTAAGACTATGGATGTTGGCCTTTTCTTCCGTAACACTCAGTATCGCACAGATTTATACTTTGTTTAGTAGTAGGTATGTTATGATCAGATAGAATTCTTGTAACAAAACTCCATCTCATTTATCCATCTTGTCTTGTGCATTACATCTTATGATCAACTCCATAAATTTGCAGGTCTTAATCTTATCAGCAGTGGAATCTTATTACCTTATTTTTCATTTACAGACTACATCTTTAGCTCCCAGAATTGATGGTCAATGAGTGTCATTCAAATGAAATGGATAAACATATTGAACTCCACTTGGATTTCTTCAGATTCAGTCAGAATTTTGTCACACTCAAGGCACAAATCCTTCAGAACTTGTGGTTTATAATAAACCTCATTACACTTCAGAATCGCAATACTGTCATGCTCCATGAACACAGAATTTGTAATTGTAAGTTTTGTCCCTCATTTGTAAACACCTTTACATAGCTGAGAAACGCTCATTACTGACTGATGGATATTTTTATTCATGTACTCGTTTCATTCCAGTCCCAAGAAGTGTAATTTGAAGCAATATCCTTTTATATCTACAATTTCGTACTCTGTTAAGTATTATGATGCCTGTCCTTGTAAATTGGAATTCAAATGATTGCAATTCACTGATTCTTGAGCACTGCAAATTGGACTCCATCATTGCATCTAATTTACATGGATGCTAAATTGGAGTAAAAACTCGTGGTAACTTAATTTAAATATATTTGGACTTACGTGTAAATTTATGGATAAGCCAGCCATGTTTTAGATGTAGGAAATTCAATTTTGTTTATCGGCTAATATTTTTTCAACCTTAACGTGTGTTATAGGTCTGAACCCAACGGGCAAGCTGATGTTGCAGGAGAAAGCAGTTGTCTGCTAGCCGAAAAACAATGTACACTATAGGATGCAATGGATTGGTTAATATTTTCAAGTTGTGTATAGGATGCAATGGATTGGTTAATATTTCCAGGTTTAATGTTGGTGCATTAGAACCATATAAACAATTTTCAGAACTCTTTTTCTTTCTTCGAGTATCTTGTTTCTGTTGGTTAATGGATTTAATCATCACAATTGGAAATTAATTTTCCTTTGAAGATTAAAATCATATGAATAAAAGGATCTTATTAACCTTGAGATCATTGGATTATAAAAATTCTCACACATAGAAAGGGAAGATGATAACCTTTTGAAGGAGCTTTTAATGGTCTAGTCAATTGCTTCTTCCCTTATATCTTCTCCCTTATTCTTCACTAGGTGTATTTCCTTTTCAAGAAAGTGAAAAGTGGCTAACCCTAATTCTCATATGAAAATATGCCAATAAAGTGCATATTTATAATGTCCTATTAGGGTTTGAAAATTGCATAAATTTCCTTGAACTTTATTGTAGTAGACCAATTAAGTCACACACCTTTTATTGAAGTCAAGAGAGGGACCTAACCGGATTCACATGACCTAAACTCCAATAAATGTTTTCAATTGGGTCAACTCTTGACCAATTGAGATACATCTATTAATCCCGGTTTATTCTACGAAAAAATCGAGATTGCACTCTCGAGTCGAGTGATAGTTATAGAAGCAAATTATGATCCAATAACAATATCCTCTGATTATCGTTCCACAAGTCAACCCCCCTTTGACTGTCAATATGTTGAAACTGGCAAAATGACCGTTTTTGCCCTTCAACATGTATTACCCTCTAAGTACCATTTTCATACGGCAAATTCGTTGTGATCCAAATCACAATGTAAAGTCCAACGATCTCATCGTTGACCTACTAAGCTCAGGTTCAATTTGCCTAGGAAAATACCTTAGAGTAAAGATCGTCTCATCTCAATGATTAATAGATTCCACTATTGTAAATATATGATCTCTAATTATTTCGGCCCGATTCCCAAAGCACCGTGATCAATCTTCTATTTAAGACTTCACTCATTGGTACCTTAAAGAACTTGAACTAGCAATCGAAATGAGTCATCTACACGGTCTCGTTCAATGTGTATCGAAACACATTATTGTTCCTATTTCAAGATTTAGACAAATCTTAATAAGAACAATACAATCTTATCAACATAAAGCGTCCAACTTTATATATCAATTGTGAACGACATAATTTTGATCACATCACGAATTGTGTCTTACTATACCCGATCCATCAAGTATACAATTTGTGATATCCTATATGATCATGGAACCTTAGATAATCACTTCAAATTATAACATGCAAATAGACGAACGTCAATTCATAATATGATTTTACAGAACACTACTCGAAAAATGGGCATCAAGCTAACAGTTTCAATGTAGGATTCTTAGTCTCATAGTCTACTTTACACCTCTACTTTTTTCCCTTTTACGTTAGGGAAGTGTTTTTAGGCCTACTTGCCTTTGCAAGAGGGAAGTTTTCGGCATTGTCCCCTACCCTAATATATAGATTGGAAAATTAATGCAATGAATGAAAAAGAAGATGAAGTGATGTATTAAGGTGACGATGAGATGAGTAAAAAAAAATGGTTTTCTCGTTCTACTATTTTCGACTTGGAAAATCGAGCCAAGGGATGATGGCCCTTCAAATCTATTGATGCCCCCCACGACTTGCCCAATAAAATGGAAATATCAATTTAGCCTTATTTGGTAGAGATTTTTCAAAAAATCATTTTATGAAAAGTGGTTTTTTGAATAATATGTCACTAAAAAGAAGTAAATAGTTATGATTTTACGTGCAAAATTATTTTATTTGAAAAATATATATGATTGAAAACTAGTACGAAAAAAAAAGAGTTTAATTTAGAAAATGTGTAGAAATTGGGCTTAATCATACATCATAAAGTCAGACAAGTTTCATGTAATTCCCTCCCTGCTTTCTTAATCAGATTTTGTTATATCCAATTATGATTTTGTTTATGATTATGACATAATTAGCAAGCTAATTACAAATTACCATACTACAGAAATTCGCGCCTTTTGAATAAACACTTGTGTTGGGTTTTTTGATACCCAATAAATCCCGAGATATGATATTAACGTGTGTTAATATATTTCATAGGCATAGGTCGATGAATAAAACGATGAATGAAATAAGTCCAACAATCAAGTCCATGAGTTCCATCCGATCCAATTGTATTCCCTCTTGGAGGACTTAAATCTTAGTCTGTTTATCTTTTTTTTTGGTCCAATTAAATGCCTAACCCTAGACTATTCATAAGACTTCAAGCCTAGCTAGTTTCTAGTGTGATTTGTGAAGAAAATAGAGGAAATTCGGCTGCCCCTTGGTGTGTGAAAAAAATCCCCTTTGAAGTGCCAAAATTGATTTATTACTTTGTGTAATTGGTGGTTCTTTCATAACCTACCTTTGTGGTGTTTTCTCTTTGACTTTGTGGCCACAAATCATCATCGTTTCTTATCCCTCATGGGTAAAATTGAATAGCAATTGAGGTGAATTATATTGGTCGTGGGTCTAAGCCAGTTGGTTTGATTATTGGTAGAGAAAAAATACCGATTTAAAGATCTTTGGAGAGAGGTTTCACAACAATTATGAACAAGTATTTATTGAGTTTGTATTGGCTAGCTTAATGGAAAAGTCAACAGGTTCTGAAGTTATTGAAGTGTTCTTTTATACTTTTGAATTTAAGGAAACACAGTTGTTTGTTTGTAATTGACTCGAAGATTTTTAGTTTATATTTTGTGGGCTATTTATTGTATATAGCGATTAATTTATTTATTTAGAGGGAAGTAAATTGGGTAATGAAGTTCAAAAGTAAGTAGAAGTGAATATTTTAATCAAAATTGAACTTCTTGAATCGGGAATGGACTGAAATTGAAATTGAACTTCTTGAATCGGGACTGGACTGAAATTGCATGTTACGATTCGATTCTAAAATAAAATAAAATAAAATAAAATAAAATAAAAAAGAAGATGGAACCGAGAATCCATTGGGGCTGCATCTGTTCTTGGTTCTAAATTGGAACCATAGGTACTCGACCTAGAAATCGAATTTGCTATTTTTTATAAGTTTTTATTTTTAAATTTTAAATTTTCGCTCCAATTCAATGACTTCGGCCTAACATATAGAAAGTTAACAAGGCCTAGTAAGTATCTAGTTTTTGAAGCCCAAATAGTAAGAAATTACCTAATCAATATATTCATTCATTCGAATAAATGAATCACGTCACTTTCGTTTAAGCTGCGTCTGATTACAAGCATGAAATTTGTATGGAAAGAAAATAAATTTTGGGCAATTTAATTGCCTAGAACTTATTTGTATAAAAATTAGTAATTAAATGTGTTTGATTGGTTTAGTTTTCAACCTAAAAAATATTATATTTGTCCATTCTTTATTTGAGGATAAATGAGATAGAGTGGATAGGTAAGACAATAAATTACGTGGAAAATAAAAATCACCATTTCCTACAGAAATTTTTTTTCTTATTTTTGAGGAAAATATGATCACGTGACCAAATGTTGAAGAATAATTTTCATAGAAAAAAATTATCAATCAAACACTCCAAAAGTAGGAATTTGGGTGGAAAAGTGACATTTTTCTACAAAAAATAGAACCAATCAAACACGTTCTTATAGTCTTTTCTATCTAAACTTTATGCATTGTGCATTCCATAAACCCTTCTTGAGACGTCATACACAAAATCATAACCGAAATTGAATGCTATTATATTAGATATTGGATGCTATTTAGTGGTATATTTATATTGAATTTAAAAAGTGTTTAAATACATATTCCAATTACATATTTTATATCTTATAATTTTGCTAGATATTGAAAAGATAATTTGTGTTGTTAGCTCAAAATTTAAAAAAATAAATAAATAAATAATATATAGGTAGAACCAAACTCGAACCAAAATCAATGGTTAGGATTTAGATTTAGTTCTAGCGTGAACCCCAATATTCCATTTACGAGATACTTGAAGTGTTGGTATCGAAATACTACCTACTCGACACCCAAGCCTACAAGTAAATATAAAAGTTATATGTAATAGCCAATGGGGTAAATATACTAGTGGTCACCAAACTCTTAGCATAATTTCATGTTGATCACCAAATGATTCAGGTTTGTCATGAATTTTGTTGTCACTCATCCTTAAATTGCCCTGTTTTTTGTTACAGTATACGTTTATTTGCCTTGATTTGCAAACTGTAGCATGACTTGGTACACAGTTGGGGTCTCAAACTTGCCCTCCAAAAGTGTGTTGGGGTTAGTAATTCTATGTCCGTAGAAAAATTCATTTGCATCTAGATAGTCTACAATTTCCTTAACTTCTGCTAATAATTATGCTGCTGTTGCAGCCCGCAAATAAAAAAATTGGAGTTGTAGATTCTCACTGCTGTATGGATGATTGGTGATTACTAGCTATTCTAGCTTCATGCAGGCAAGTGCAGCTTGTTTCAAATAATCGGACTAATTCTTTATCGAAATTCTTTTCTGTCATTCCTAGCTTACTTTTGGAATTGGAGCTTCCATAAAAGATTCGCTCCTCTTAACGTCCTTGGTCTCCATCATGCTAATCTCAACCCATTGTTATTGTTGCCTCTACTAGATATCGCATTGAATAGAATTCATTTTTATTGATCTAGGTGTGACTGAGGTGTCAAAGAGAGTGGAATATGTTAAAAGCTAGGATGGCCATCATTGAAAAAGCTTATTACAAGTCAATGGGAATTGGTCCTTCCAATTTCACGACTCAATGATGGATGATAGCATGAGATAGTTTTACACAATCTATGCATTCATTGCTATTATTTTGCATAGAGTTATAGAACAACAAGATAATTCAATATTCTAGTTGTAGATATACAATTTTCACAATAAATTTATATCTCAAATTCAACAATAATGCCTCCTCTACTCTTTTGAGATGTAATATGTTATTGACAATGAGAGAGCACATTTTTCTTTTGATGTCATTCATTTTTAATCGCCTTCGTTCTTATTGAATCACGTCATCATTTAAAAAGTTTAAACTCTTAGATGGTGAATGTTTTAAATGTCAGCATGTTTCACATCGATTGGGTACAAATGAAATTTGTGCAATATATAATGTGTTAATTTTGAAGTTATGGGTTTGGTACATAGACTTTATCATTGTATGAGTAGATTTATGTTGAGTCGAGTTTGCATCTCTAGTCATGTATAGATGTGGTGTACACTGCGAGTATTAGCATGGCCGACATTGTCCGAGGATGAATGATGCATAAGTTAAATGGAAATTCGTATTGTAAACTGTTTAAAGTCATGAGTTAGGCTCGTGAACATTTTCAGCCAACATGCTCTTCCACGTGCAGTCGCATTCTTTTTCAAATACTTGATTTAAAAATAGTAAAAAAGAGACATAAATTCAATATCTTTCTTGTCTATAATATCATCTCGTTTTGTATAAACTGCAAATTTATGAACCTCAACGTGTCTTCTGTTTTCATTCGTCTTTTCTTCGTATGGTCATTCTTGTGGGGGGCCATGAGAGATATATGCCCTCCATCTCTCCCTGCAACACAAATTTGAGTAGCCAAATGTGTTAACTAGACTGCTTTTGGTTTGTTCAATCGTTGTCTTCATATAAATCAAGAAACTTCTTCCCTGTCACAACATTTTCACACGTCACCACTCCAAAAAAAATCATGTCTGATTAGTAGACAAGTTTTTGAACTCAATCATCATCAGTAACAGAAAGCTTACACGTGTCAATAATATCCCAAACCCCCCCACCCCACCCCCTTCCCCGCCGACACTCCCATGATAACCTTTGGAGTTGGATTTCCTTTGAAGCATATTGCATGCCCTGTATAAAACTCTTCAAAAGAATCATAAAATTGTAGTTAAGACTACAAAACTTGGTGTAGTGATTCTTGAACTGTCTTCGGCAAAAGGAGAGATGGGGCTTCCAAATTTTCCTAGTCCAGCTGAAGGGGTTCTGCCACTGCTGGTGATGAACATCGCTACGTCGGTGGCTGCTGTGAAGAACATGCTAAGATCTATGCTGCAAGTAGGCGGTCCTAGTCGTGGTGTTGCAGCCGCCACCAATCAAGATTTTGTTGAGGAAGATTCTAAGAGTGATGATTCTGGCGATTTATTGGCTAGCAGAGTGTCAATAACGCGATATGGCTCTTTGTGCAGAAACCGGTGCTTTAGTCCTGATAGAACTCGCCGGGGCTGTGAAGGGAACTGCGATTACCATATGAGGCCTTCGATCGAGTGTTGTGTGTGTCTTTGCAAGTTTCAAGCTGATGAGGAAGTGTGTGAGCTTTCTTGCAAGCATTTCTTCCACAGAGGTTGTTTGGAGAAGTGGCTTGATAATCAACATAGTACTTGTCCTCTTTGCCGTTCCGTTATGTAGAATTTCATCCATGGCGGGCTCGATGAGTTGTAATAGCTTTCACCATTTTAATCTTTTTGTTCATAGTTGGTGAGTGGATGTAGCTTTCGCGTAAATAAAGGGTAAATTATAAGATGTAGTTGAACTATACTATTTCATTTTGTATATATTAGTCATTAAGTTATAGATTAGGCAAAATAAGTAATGATTCAAGGATATGAACTTGCAACACAAGTTTTGCTTCTGTGTTAAAACTTTTGGTATTGTCTATATGAATCTTTTTCTAGCACAATGTTCATGTAACTTTGCTGATACAAAAAAAATATATGACACATACGTAGACAGGTAACTTCTCACATGGTATTCGAGAATTATGATGGGGAAAAAAAAAATACATAGGATTATGAAATTAAACACAGTAGCACATTATTTAAATTAGCTTTAAGTCCCTCCAACTATTTGTGGTTTTGGAGGCTTAATACCCCTTCATAGACATCCATTTTCTCAGTCCATGCTTCTCACGCTCCATTTCGATGAACTCTTCAGCCTCAGCATCAACGACATCTACATCGTTTACACGCTCATTCGTGTGCCAGTAGTCCACTTTGATTTCGTTTTCAGCCATAGGATTAATATCTTCAAACTGACCGAAGTTCGGACGAGAACTTGGACGTGGATGAGCGTCTTTAAGCCACCGCCCCATATGCTCAGCTTCATAAAGCTCATAAGCATCCGGGGGTTGATGATGCTTTTGATGCTTGTCATGGAGCTTCTGGTTACTTTTCTGGCCTATGATTCTATTTTCATCCATAGGAGCAACCTCTTCAAACTGATTGGAGTTCACACGAGCACTTGGACGTGGATAATCATCTTTAAGCCACCTTGCCGTGTGCTCTGCCTCATAAAGCTCGTAAGCATCCGGGGCATGATGATGCTTGTCGCGGAGCTTCTGGTTTCGTTTCTTCTCCATTTTATGTTCACGAAAACTTGTTAAATCACTCGAAATTTATGACAGATACATAGTTAATGTTTTCAACTATATTTATAGCTAAATTTTCGATTGTGTGAAACGGTAAGATGGAATGGAATCTGATACCTTTCACTTATGGTCCGAACACTGGAAATACGGAAAAAAAGGGCTTTAGTAGATTCTTTGATGCTAATTTATCGGAGTTTACGAGTCTAAAGAAACTGTAGAACTTGATAACTGCATTAAATAAGGTGGACTTAGTAGAAGCATTAAACCAACACGTGAGATCTACGTCGAAGTTGAATGCTTTACATAAGAGGGACCATTTGTGGTGAAATTGTGACTAACAGGGAATCTGAAGAATAATTAAAACATTCCGGTCGAAAACCTGCCCGAATATTTTGGCAGCTGCCAGTTCTTAACAGAAATCGAATCTACCTTTGTTTGATCCAAGTTTGAGACAACTCTTTTGAAGATTCGGCAAGTTTTTAGGCATATGAACCATCTACTCTAGAGGTGTAAGACAGGTTTGGCTGCCCAGGCTTGCCACGTCCAGCCCTTTTGGATGGCACAGGCCTAGATATTGCACATGTCCGGGATTGACAGGATGTCGACATGCAAGACATGACTCGATGTCAATTGACGTCAATATTGCATAGGAGTAGTGCAACTCTGGATCGATCTTATCCGACTTTTACTAGCTTTATTTGTTGACAATTTATTATTATTATTATTATTATTTGATCGTCAATTGTAGGCCCTATTTCAGAGGAATTTTGAGAATTGATTTTTTGACCATTAGAAGAAAAGTAGGATTCACCTGTGAGAGAAAAAGTCAAAAATTACGACTGAAATAGTGAAATAACGATTAAAAAATCATTTTTTTGGGTAAAAAAATCCCCCCCAAACAGTCTTCTAGTGCATGTGCACATTGATTTTAACAATCCCAATTTTCGTTTTCCATCCCACCTATTGTAATTCTGAACACCAAATTTTCTGCACAATTTATATCTTTAAGGTCCTAGGAGTAACATCAGGGCTATGAGTCAAGACTTGAAAGATTTAAGAAGGCACTATGACTCAATAACTGAAATGAAAGTTGTAACTTTTTATTTCGAAGGCACTGTTTGATATGGAGAATTTTCCAACTTTTTGCTTGTTTGATAGTAAAAATTTTCCGTGGAATTCATTTTCACTCCCCTCCCACGTGACCTCTTTCCCTTGAATTGGCGGAGGTGTGAAAATAATTTCCAGCTTTTTTTTTTCTTTGTAATGAAAAGAAATTCTATCCACAATTGTAACAAATTTTTATCGTTTAATTGACAATTTTCATAGAAAACAAAACCAAACGAATACTAGAAGATCCAAAATTTCAACATTTTCCAGATGGAAAACTAGATCAATCAAGTACATTTAATTGACAATTTCTAATAAATCAAGTTCTAGACAATTTAATTCCTTGAAATTTGTTTTCTTTCTACCTAAATTTCATTATTGCAATCAAACGAATCCTAAATGTATTTGAATAACTTACATTTTTTACTTATATTTTAAATAGCTCTGTACTTTGAGATTTCGAGTTGCTAATAAAAGTGTCACCTTAAGATTCTGCGTTCATAAGAATCTCATTCCTACTCATGGAATTGTTCTAAACAGTAGTGATGGCAACGAGGCGGGCTTTGACGGGACGGGACGTGACGGGGCGGGGCGGGGAGGGGAGGGGCAAGGCAATTTTCTTGCCTCGTTTAATTTTTTTTTTTAATTTCAGTTTAATAAAATACAGATAACATTCAAGTTGAACTTTTAATAAAGAATGCTCTTACTTTATGTAAATTTAAGTTTTTATTTTGGGATAAAATTACTTATAGTGTAAAATGATTTTTAGAGAATGTGTGAATAAAAAGTATGAAAAATTTATAGGTCTACATGTATATTATGTTATTAAAAAAATTGTGATAGAAAATAAGTTTAATTAAAAAGCGATTTTGAAATATGTTGCATAGATGAACTCTTAAAAAAATAAAAAATAAAAATAAAAATAAAAAAATCACGGGGCGGGTTCGGGGCGGGGCATCCTAGCCCCGCGCCCCGCGACGGGGCGACCATTTATGCCCCGCCCCATGCCCCACTACGAGGCGGGTTTTTTTACCCCATTCGGGACGGGGTAAATTGTCATCACTAATAAGCAGATACAGTGTTTTATTCCCCAACTTGTGAAGAATCTGATGTGCCCGTCCTACTTTAAACAGCAGATTAGTTTGTTCCCATCAAAATATATTAACTTTTCAAGTTAAAATCGATATGTCCGGTAGTTGACAGCATTAAATTAAAAATTAAAATCTTTTCCATTATATCATTTGGGTATAGTTTACACATTGTGTACAACATGCACTTATCACTACTTTCCGTAAAGAATTTTTCAAGTCATGTGAGCCCGACATGTCTCATAAGTCACTTATTCGATTCAATATTTTATTTGGAAGTACTCACACTTTTTACATTTATAAACCTTGTGGATATGGCATTATTCTTTGATTCCTTTAGGATCTTTCAACTTTATAACCTTATAAGCAAAACTTCAACTTTATAACTTTATAAGCAAAACTTACTTCTCAAGTTTAAAATAAATTGAGATTCACTATATATATAATGAATCGTGCTACACGAATATAGGGGTTGACACAACGGTTGACATAACACATATATGGAGAGGTCGACATTACTTTATTCGTGCGAGACCGACACCTCGGTTGTGAGTGTGGTGTCATCCTTTATGTCAAACATTATGTCCGTTTGGTATTTTTCATATATAATATTAAGCATTTATGCCAATAAGCCCCTCGTCCGAATAAACTTGAAACTTCCTCTCAAAACACCTAACCCTGATTTACTACGTCTGAATCCCAAAATGCCTTTAACAAGACATTTAAAAGTCATCAGTTCTTTTGACATATTTGGTATGTTGAATTGAATATCACAAGCGATAAATCTTGTTATGTCTTTTTCTTCATTACTTGAGTCCCACCTAAATGAACAGATCTAACATGCCATTCGGGTTCTAAAAAAGGGACAATAAAAAATTGTCTTACGATGTAATGAGCACATAGAGAGGTAGTGAATGATTAAGTTGTTAAGGATAACAGACATGCCAACCTTGAGGAGTAACCAAACATAATAAACAATGAAGGGCATCAGATTCTCTATTCATTTGACCTTTTACATTATCTCATTCTTAACAAGTATATGAAAATTCGAGGCAAGAAACAAAGAAGAAGCAGGCAAAATGCATTATAAGAACAAAAATCTTGAGAAAATTAGAACAATGTCTCTTCGACTAGACTTCTTCATTGGATAAGAACCTTAGTTAAGTACAAATCAGAACATTAAATGCACAAAAACATTCAAAATTAGTCCCCCGTCCAAAAAATTCCAGAAACTGCGATGATCTNATCAACGTCGGACATTATTAACAAGTCATCATCCTGAATTCCAGCTTTTTTGAGAACATAATCCAAAGACAGCCTCTGATAGGCTTCCTCAATAAATGGATTTTCTCCTCTCCTAAATCTGCCTGGAACTTGCCCGTAAGTCAATCGTGACTCCACAAATTTGAATTCCTCTTGATTAGCGGAAAAGAACAAAGGCTTTGCCAGTCCAGTGAACGTCGAATTTGACTCAAGTAGTACAAATTCATTCATGTATGGGGCCAATTCCTTCCACCGTATTTTAAGGATATCTACTTCATTGTTGAACAATACTGCATCAAATACTCGCCTTGGATACTCCCGTATACCCCAATTGTGAAGTTTACAGAGATTTTCCATTGATACATTCTCGTGATAATAGTGAGGGATATCATGGAAGGGCTTGGGAGGGTTCTCCCATAAAGGCCGCAAGAAATATGTGATCTTCTGTCCATGCACATATATAACACAGACACACATTGGAACCAACACTAAGAGGAAGAGACAGATTTTTATGTCCAATCCACGCATAATACACTTTAATCTCGACATGCTCAATGTTCGACCCGAATCCTGCAGGTTAAAAATCACATTCATTACAAACATCATAGAGCATATGTAAACAACAAGACCTACACACACTCCATATTTTAATGCGATAATCATTACATTCAACTACTGTATCAAACATCTAACGAATTCTTCTTAGAAAGAATTAGATAGTATATTAAGAAAGAAAATAAAGATAAAATCCTGCTGATTATACAGTCTAATCTCCAATTCAACCCCACTCTGCATATCTAAATAACTTGAAAAAATTCTTCAAAGCATTATAACAGGCCATAAAAACTTAGAGAAATACAGGAATTATTACATCATCACTACATATGACTTCAGAAGGATATGCTGAAGAAACAATTTACTGGAAAGTAAAACTGTGGCTAACCACAAAAAAAAAATAAATAAATAAATAAAATAAACGTTGATAGCATTCCTGAAAATTAATTTCGGTATTTTAATGAAAAGAAAGTTTCAATTTTTTTTTTCCTCCGACAGAGCCCAACAACTCAGAATTTAAAATTTGAAAATTCAATTCTAAAATTTATGTTCATTTTTAAACAACAAATTAACAAACGGAAAACCCGAATAATCCATAATTTCCAAAACCGTTAGCATACAAGAAAAATTAAGAAAAATAAAAACCTTAAATGAACCGATATAATTTGTGTAAACATCCATTTCAAGAAAAAAGTGGATAAGGAAAATTAATTTCGGTATTTTGATGAAAAGAAAGTTTCAATTTTTTTCTCCAATAGAGCCCAACAACTCAGAATTTAAAATTTGAAAATTCAATTCTAAAATTTGTGTTCATCTTTAAACAACAAATTAACCCACGAAAAACCCGAATAATCCCTAATTCCCGAAACCGTCAGCATACAAGAAAAATTAAGAAAAATAAAAACCTTAAATGACCCATATAATTTGTGTAAACATCCATTTCGGGAAAAGGAAAATTAATTACCTCGTCGTTAGCATCTATGTCGTCTGTCTTCTTAGAACAGTAAGGGGATTCCCCTTCAGTCGATCTTGACTTATTCCACATACCCCCTCTTGATTTCAAGATCAAACCCAACAAAAATCAAACAAAACCCAGATGGAGAAAGAGAGGGGGAAAAAAGGAGGAGACAGGGAAACCTAAGAATTTCAAGAAACCAGAAACAAAGAATTCTTGAAATTTTTTTTTTTTTTTTTAAATTAAGAAAGGGAACGAACGAACTGAAATGTAAAAGACAAACAAAACCAGGAAAAGAAAAAGTAAATTATTTTTTAGTATGTGTTTTGTGTGTCTTGGAGCCTCACTGTTTAATGGTTGGCAGTTGTCAGAATTACAAAGAAGCCGTCCTTCTCGTCTTCTACCCCACGTTGTTTTGAGGCCATTTATAAACCTTCCAATGTAGGAAATGTTTGATGTTTGTTGACCAAACTACCCATCTGTAATTTTATTATTATAATTTCATCATGGTTATTTTTGTCATTTAACTGTACACGTCTATTGACTTGCTCAAAACAACATTTACGCGTGTCGTGTTTTAAACAACATATAATGTCCTTTTTTTTTCATTTTAAAAAAAATAAATATTTGTAATAGTCGTTGTCTTAAGATTAGTAGCCCAAACATATTTTAAACAACCATTCTACGAGTACAGTAATTTTCACACTTTTCTTTCACAATACACACATATGCAAGTGGGTGGGGTCCACGATTAAAATAATAGTGGACCCCACCTTTGTTAGGAAACGTGAAAATTGCTATAAAAATACATGTTGTACAAACAGCATTTTTGTATTTTAAATGATTGACCAATGCAAATTAATGCAATTTGGATAACTTGTTTTGGTGTGTTTGTTGAATAATTCTTTTTAATTCAATGTCCATCTTCCCTAGACGATGATTACTGAATATTCTTCTTGCTTGATTAAGTTAGAGTAATCGTTTTACTCAATGTTCAATCCAGTTGTCCTTTTATTACGTCTTTAGACTTCGAAAATCAATTTCTCACATTCACTTTTTTTTTTTTATTGACTCAGAGAAATAACTCAAACAATCATTAAAAATATAGCCGAGTTTTTACATTCAAGCAACTTGTAGCAAATGCCTATAGAAAGATCAAAATTAAAAAAATTAAAAAAATTAAATATGAATATGAAAACCCTCGAAGTGTTTTTTTAATGTACCTAATTGCTGAAGTAAATTATTAAATCTGCTTGTTGGAATAGATTTATGAAGTGTTATTTGTAAATTAAATATAATCGTTGTTAAACATATTTATAAATTAGGTTATCTGAATAATAAGGTTCGCTGAGCTGACATAATAATATTATAAAGATTAGTTTGTACCGTTAAAGTTAGGGTGGCAAATTAAGATCAACCAGTAGAGTTGAGTGTCTATGATGTAATCCTACTAAACTCGTTTTAGGTCATCAATTTTACTTTTTGTTAATGTCAAAAATTATATGTTGAAGTTTTTTTTTATTTTTCATGAAAATTTAGAAATCGGAGCACACGATTTACTTAAATGCTTAAATGAACGTGGCAAAGTGTACGTAAATTGGGTGTTAGTGGTGATTTTTACGGAGTTTTGTTGTGTTTCGTTAAGATGTTTCAATCAGGAAGAAGATCTCCCCTTTTGTAGAGTTTGGAAAGGTGTGGGGGTGAGGTCCTCTAGGCATTGTATTACTGCTTTCATGTGGTCGATTGAGACCGTGTCAATTCTTATTGTCGAAGCACTTCTCGAAGTCATGTCTATTATTAGGAGCCTCATCTTCAAATTTTCGGAGTGACACCAAAAATAGCTTGTACTATTCTCCATGTTCTTATGTGTATGGATGAGTACTTGACCTCAATTTGCAATTGGTTGGGAGCCTCGACTCTTATCGCACCTAGGACTACAATGTAAAAGTAATTTCACAAATGGAGATAATTTATCAAGTCTTCCGTATCTACATTCATGGTTTAAGACCCCCTACTATAGGAGATTCAATTCACAATTTCCCATCGGACTTGCTGACATCATTACCTCCCGTCGAGATGAGAAAGCATTCTAAAGGATAGTTTAATGGTATTAAGAATTGGTGGGTCCTAGTCTCAACTAGTAGCTTGGTGGTGATCCTCAATGATATGCGAGCTTGACAAGTCTAGTGGCTTCAACTTTAGTTGAAAATGAAGGCATAGTTAGCAAGAAAATTGGATGACTATTCTCGACAAGTCATGTCTAGGCCATGTGGATGAAGACACAACAACACCTTCAGTATAAAATGTTTAATTACTTATTGAGAAATGCTATATAGCATTAGTAATACTTACCATCGGTCTATTTTTCCGGTGCTAAATGTCACTAACTAGATATGAACCAAACAAATGTACAAATAAAGACACGACTACAAACCTATCCACATGTACAATCAGTCGAACTTCATGATATGCACTTCCAAGTTCTCTTGTAAGCAAGAATGTGACTCATTCAATTTTCATTATAACTTTTGAACAATAGTTCGCAATACATGGTCAGGAAGTGATGTGCATTGAATTGTGAAATCATTTTTCAAGAGGTACACTGAAAACGGGATGAGTGTCATTCTTGTTTACAAGAACATGTACAGTGGACTGCATCACGTTAATTATTTACAACTTTTCGGGAAAATAATTATTTTTTCCATTTGTTATTTTAAATAGATTTCTGGCCATATCCTGCATATATAGTACATCATTTTGTTTTATCAAACATTAAATCTTATTGTAATCTACGTCACACGTTTCAAATATCATACTTACAATAAGAATAATATTTGAAACAAAAACCGTATGACATGGTAATTCAATTAAATGTTGATGTGTAAATGCCAAAATCGAACTAGCTATCTTGATTATGTTTTCACAAATATTTTTGAAAACTCTTTTAAAATAACAACTCAATTCTCAGCATCTTACAAGTAGACAGATCTACCAATTAGAGAAACTTCGATGATACAGTAATTGTACAAACAGTCAATCATAATTCGCTTGTTTTGAACCTCTAGCTAGCCATCTTGTATTTTAAATGTGTTGGAAGGGTGTTCAGTCTAACTCTAATGAATTGTGTGTCCGACCCTTGAAGTGTTGTTAGATATAATATTGAAGTCGATAACAATATTCACATTAATTCTAATTATAATTCCACTTAATATGACATATCTCCCACAAATATTACTCTTACCAAAATTTAAGCCCCCTTTTGTGCCCCATTATTTCTCATTACATTAAATTAAATTTCTCTCTCTTCTACTTTTAATTATACAATCTTCAATAAAATAATATTACACGTAAATAAAAAACTTTTCAACCACTCATTTTTCAAAAAAAAATGCTATTCATCTCATTATAATCAACAAATAATGGGGCTCAAACAGGGCTTACTAACAAGTTGATCAACTCATCTTTATTGAGTGTTGACCATTTCAAGTATTTCAATTCTTTGAAAAAAATTGTTGGTTGCTTCTCTTTTACACTTGATTTCATTTCTTCTTCCACACTTTGCATAAGTTTTAACCTCATTTATTTATAGATTTATTATGCAATCACATGAAACATTCATCATTATGAAAGTAAAATTAACATATCAGCAATTAAATCCTCATTTATTATTATTTATTTATTTATTTATTATTTTTTTTATAGTTGGATTAAGAAACTTTATTCCTCACTCAAGTAAAAGTTGTACTTTGAGTTTTTAAAAACGCCAGACCAATCACCATCAACTGGGATCCATGGTTGTCGTGTTTACTCGACTTTGCCATTGGTTCATTCATTACTTGATCAACAGTTAGTTGCTAATTTAATATTAACATCGACCCATTTTATTGGACGAGTTTTTACATTCACACAAGTTGCTGAAAAAGCAAATTATGGAAAATTAAAATATTTACTTTGGCTTATTAAGTAGATACTCCAAAATAGAATTTCAATTGCACAAAAATTGAGCTACTGACTTAATCACCAACCAAAGACTAGTAATCACAGGATGGGACACTCATTTGCCAGTCCGTTCTTTTAATGTGTATATATAAATATATATACAATGTTCATAGCTACGCCACCGATGGTTAATAATCGGCCGGCCCCATCGTTAGTAGGAAGCAATTTGTTTTAAAAATAATAATGAATGGAGCGGGATGGCCAATACCCGTTTTAATACCACCAATCCAAAGGGACGAGAAATTCCCAATCCATTCGAGTCGAGATCTGCATATCTCGAGCCGAACGGATTTTTTTATCACCCCTAATTTAAAACTACCTCAAATAAATTTATATATTGATGCGTTTGCATGAAGCCCACCCACCCCTATAGTCAGTTGAAAAATCAAAGGTTCCTCAGTCTAAGGCCAGCATGTACACGGTCTACTCATATACAAGTCATTAAAACTGGGTAAATTTTATTTACGATAATTATATTTTGATTCTATTTCAATCATATAATTGTATTTTAATTTTGTATGGGTAACTGTATTTTTATTTGATTTCAATAACATAACTCCTTTTAATTTCGTAACTTAATTGAATTTGTGAAAATTGATGACATAGCAGTGAATAAATTATGTTCCTCATTTATTTAAGGAAATTGTACTTATTTCACTTCAGAAACTAATAGATATATGTGATTATATTGTTAGTGAAATGGGACAAAGTTGTATTAATTGAAACCAAATTAAAGTATATATATACTCGATCGAAATCAAATTAAAGTATTATCACTCCGTTCAAATCGTATCAAAGTATAGTTGGTAGATTGAACAAAATTGAAGTACGATTATCTCATTAAACTAGAGTCAATGTCTAATTATCATCAATGAAGTTTACTGACCAAAATTCCTCAAAGTTTTAATTTTGATATTCTTCAACTCTAAGCTTGAAAATTCAACCCAATTTAAAAATCTTTTACTGAAAATTTATTATCCTACGTTTACTGGTTGACCGGACCGGTAATGCTTGGCAGTGTGACAAGTGGCAATCAGTACAGGGTGGGCCGGGTGGGTTCGATTGAAACTTTTGAATCATTCAACTCTCAATTATTAAAGGTTGAACCCCCAACCTTGAGGAGCCCCCACCATCCGCCCCTGAAGTTTTGTGAGGGAGGTAAACCGCGGGATATGCTCCAGCAGGCTAGGGAACAAGAGTTGCATATATATTACGCTTACAAGGAATTCAATTCCATATCTTACGAATCGAACCCCCACACTGCGGCAGTCAGTAAGGCGTGAGATAACATTACTCCTGTCCTTTGTAGTACTGGACTATGCCCCGGGGGCATTCAACTCTCAATTATTATTTTTTGTACAAGTTGTTGAAATTAATTAAGTTTCATA